ATATTCTGTAATAATAATGCCATAAGCTCTTCCTAGGTGCCAGGTTCTCAGCTAAAGCACTCTACATATTAATTCTCTCACTTAATCAAAACATTAACACTGTGAATGTGTGCGTGTTTAGGGGAAATGGTGACTTCTAATAAATTTTGGCCTCATAGTAGCACGTTTCCTAAGGAAAAATTTGTTTTGGTCACATTCATGTAAACCTGAAGAAACGTGATCTCTGTTGTCTGCTTAGGAATTGTTGTTTTATGCCAGTGTTCCTCAAAGTGTGATTGGGGGGACACCTGGGCTCCCCTGAAACCTTTTCTGGTGACCCATAAATCAAAGTAACTTTAATGTTTCTAAATGTTATTTGATCTTTCATTTCCATTCTTCCATGAGTTTACAGTGGAGTTTTCCAAAGGATACAAAAGAGATGGGCAAGTATGATAAATGAGATATAAAAGCAGATATGAGAATCTGTTGTCCTCTGTCAAGTTTGACTTTAAAGAGATTTACAGAAAAAAAAATACCGGTGAAAGTAAAAATGCCATGTTTCTTACCGAATTATTTTCTTTTTGAAAATAGTTATTTTATTAACAATCATCATATATGTCAGACACAATGGATTTACTATTGTTGTTTAGTGCCGTCAAGTCATAGGCTACTCATAGCGACCCTATGAACGAAAGTCCTCAACACTTGCGTGACTTTCATCCTTTTTCCAGGTTCATAGGGTTTCCTGAGGCAAGCTATTACAGAAGTGGATGCCACTCCTGCTTCCAAGCTTATTTTAATTGAGGAGCTCCACCAAACACTGTCTACTATGGGTAACCATTATCACATTTGACACATCAGTGTCACAGTGTTCAGCTTCACAGCAACCACAAGTTACCTCTGTACAGCAAGTGGACACACCAGGGCTATACGAGCTAGGAGAATGTTTGACCAAAACCAAATAAACTAACAAATAAATACATTACTTTTTTTTTTAAATTCTCAGTTTTAACTTCTGATAGAAATAAAAATAGCTATGTTGAAGTTCTCTACAATTTTTAAAGTGTAAAAGGAGTTCAGAAGCCAAGTTTGAGAAATGAAATTTCTGGCTGAGGGTCTTTTCTTCTCCAAGGCTAATAATCTCTCTGTGGAGCAACCAAGAGTAGGTTGCTATTTCTGACTAGAATTCACTGGCTATCTCATGGGAGTTTCTTGCAATTGAAGGGGTGGCATTTAATAACTCTTTTTCATAATTTTATTTGTAGGATTCTAAAAGGTTTGAAGGCATTGACGTTGATTTTAAAGAATTGGCTTATGAAGCTCAGAAAACTCCAAATGTTGTGGAAGCAACCAACAAATCAGGCCTTTATGAAAAACTAGAAGATATTCAGAGCAGGTGACAGTTAACTTACTGGCCTTTTTATACTAGGGGGAACAAGAGTTCATTTTTATCCTTTGTCTTTATATAACTCCTTGAATAAGGGAGTAAGTATGGGTATCTGTGTGCGTTCACTGTGTGTTTGAGTATAAAAGGCATATGAAATATGCCTTAAGTAGGACATACATATATTCCACATATTTTGGGGTATATACGGCATATGGGATAAAAGATAGTTTAAAAAAACAGATACAAATATACGTCACTGCCAGAAATTTAAGATGGATTCAGAAAAGGACATGGAATGAGGGGTATTGTTACTCATATAATATTAGTCTTGGCTGAAAGCAGAGAATACCAGAAAGATATTTGCCTGTGTTGTATTAATTACGTAAAAACATTTGACAGTATGGATCATGACACAGTATGAGGAACTTTGTGAAGCACAGGAATCGCAGAATGCCTAATTATGCTCATGCAGAACCTGTGTATATACCAAGAGTTAGTCACTGAAAAGAGCAAAGTAGTGCAGCAGGTTAACTTCAGAAAAAATGTGTGTCAGGATGGTAGCCTTTCACCATACTTAATCAACCTGTCTGCTGAGCAAATGCTTGGAAAAGCTGGGACCTTAAGAAGAGAACATGGCATCTGATTTGGAAGAAGGCTCATCAGCAACCTCCTGTATACAGAAGGCATAGTTTTGCTTGCGGAAACAAAGAGGTCTTGAGACACTTAATGATGAAGATCAACAGTTACAACCTTCATTATAAATTACACCTCAATATAAAGAAAATTAAAATCCACAAAACTGAGCCCATAGGCAACATGATGATGAATATTAAAAAAATCTTGATGTTAAGGATTTCATTTTCTTTAAATCCATAATCAACACCCATGAAAGCTGCAGCCAAGATGTATTGCACTGGGATAAATCTCCTTCAAAAGACCTCTTTAAAGAAGCCGCCTTGAGGGCTAAAGTGTGCCAAGCCATAGTATTTTCAATTATTTCATCTGCATATTGGAAGTTTGACTGTGAATATGGAAGTCTGAGGAATAAATTCTGCTTTTGAATTATAACACTGGTGAAGAATAGGAAATGTAACATGAGCTGTCAGAACAAACAAATCTGTGTTCGAAGAAGTACAGCCAAAATGCTCCTTGGAATTAAGGATTTTGAGACTTCCTCTCGAGTACTTTGGACATATTAGCAGGAGGCACCTGTCCCTGGAGAAAGATTTTGTGCTTAGTAAAGTAGAGTCAGTGAAAAAGAGAAAGATGCTCAAGGAGAAATATTGACACATTGGCCGAAGCAACTGTGATGATGACTCAGGACCAGAAGGTGTTTTGTTCTGTTGTGCTGAAGGTTACTTTGAGTCGGAACCAATTCAGTGACACCTAACAATGTCAACATTCAAGGTGTATAAACACCTTCATGTATATGAATGCCAGGGGGTCGTGAAAAGGCAAGAACTCAGCTACTAAAGGTTGGCAATCCTAGTCTATTCAGAGTCACCTGGCAAGAAAGACCACTTCCAATCACAGCCATTGAAAACCCCAGAGAATACAACTCTGTGATATAAAGGGAGTTGCCATGAGTCAGAATTGTCATGGGGGCAGCAGGTAACTGGTGTGTTGGTGCACAGGCTTCAGTGTGCATGCCTGCACACGTCCCCAAGGGCTCCTTGGGCTGATTTCTGCACATGATCTGTATACTGCCTGTATCTGCATTTGGGCATTGCATATGTCCCTATGGGTGACGGCATACTGAGGACACCCTGTGCTCTATGCCCGTAGGCTGTGCCTGTGTGAGAAGGCCCTGGCAGAGTACCTAGACACCAAGAGGCTTGCCTTCCCTCGGTTTTATTTTCTGTCCTCTTCAGATCTGTTAGACATCCTTTCCAATGGTACGGCTCCACTGCAGGTAAGATGGGAAAGTGCTGGCAGAAAGTTACAGAAGGCCTGAAGAGCTCTCGGTGGGAGGGATTCTCAAGTTCACCTTTATGGCTTCCTTTTCTGGCAATATGTGTGTTTTATGCCTGTGTTGCCATTCCAGACCTCAGTCATTTCTTTGTCCCCACTGTTACTGTTGCCCAGGACACCCTCCAGCCTACTCAAGGGTGTTATGACTAAGGTAGATTTGGATAAACTTTCAGGATGCCTGGGGGAGAGGAGCGGCCTAAGCTTTTGCAAGGAACACAGTTGGCTCTGTCTAGCTTCCCTTTTAATACTACTGCCTAGGACTCCAGCATAGTGAGAGAAGCCCAGCCACGTGTCATGTGAAGGGGAAGCTTTGAGGATAGCAAAGATGGACGAGGCAGAGCCCTCGCAAGGAGTATAATCCGATAGGCATCTGGAAACCTCGTCTGTAGTGTGTTGTACTGCTCACTCAAGAAATACAAAGCACTGCCTGGCCTCCTAACCCTTCTAGCAGTCCCAGTGGGAGAGTGGTTAAGTGCTTAGTCACTAACCAAAGGGTCTGTGGTTCAAACTCACTTCCAGCTCTATAGAAGAAAGTCTGCTTACATAAAGATTTACAGCCTTGGAAACACTGCAGGGACAGTTGTGCTCAGTCCCATAGGATCCCTGTGAGTTGGAATTCACTCAGTGGTGATGCATTTCGCATCCCCACACACACTCCTCCCACATCCAGCATTTCTTCTTGGATTGGCCCTTGATTTGGTCCACCACATCAAAGAGGTTCTGATAACTGGGGTCAATTGTTTTCACGGACCACCAACAATGCTCTTCTTCATTTTCTAAAATGCATTCTTGGTTTGCCAGTCTAGCCCCTGCTGGATTGTACAGCACTGTGCAAGATTGTCATTTGATAGGCACCTAAGAAGTACTAATAAAGACCCCTCTAGACATTGTCCCCAGTTCTCTTGCATACCTACCTTCATAGGTTCAACGCCACCTTTCCAAACTCTTTGACAACATGGCCAAGATGGAGTTTCAATTAGATGACAGTAAGGAACCAACCAAGATAAGCCTTGGCATGTACAGCAAAGAAGAGGAGTACGTGGCCTTCAGTGAGCCTTGTGACTGCAGCGGGCAGGTAACAAAGCCCTTTAGCCCGCCCTCCTTACACCATCATCTCTCAAAGTGTCTCTGTTAAGAATCACCATGAACCTTGGGGATGGTCCTCCTCACCATAGGTCAGAACTGCTCTTCCTGCCCTGACCTTTGCATTTACTTGACCTGAAGCAGCTTCGAAGCAAACTCTAGTGATGTGGGCTGTCTTGCATGTTTTCCTGTCCCTGGGAAGGACACATGTCAGCATTCCTATCTCTTCCCAAAGCACAGATCTGTGCAGAAAGGAATAAAATGCATATGCACAACTACTCCAGTCAACAAGGAGAGGGTTTGGAAATTATTAACAGGACCAGGAGACTTTAACATGACAGCCCTTCAAGCACACCATGGGGGATTTTGGAACATTGACAGGTTCCTTGGGAGAAAATGTCCTTTGAAATTACCTGCTTTCTGAGATATTCCCTCTGTGTACAAATATACCTCAGAGTCAACTATATCCTCCTCCCAGCCTTTTCCTTAGAAAACCAGCTATCACATTGTTTTAAGTTCTAACACCTACAAATCTCTCATGATAAGGTAACACAGATCCCGGGAATATTCTTTCCCCATAACTCTTTCCCATCTCCACTGAGTAAAAGTCTTCTCATGCTCATTGACCTAAATGATCCCTCTAAGCATGGTCCCCTAGGATTCTCATCTAAGAGTCTCTTTAACACCTGGAGAAAAGACTTTTACAGGATTCCATCTTAATCCACATGTATTTTGCAAAGTAATTCTAGTGTCAGAAAATAATCAGAAGTTCCATTATATGACATTGATCCTGGGACATAATTTGGGATGTATTCTTTTCTGTAAAGCAATTAAGCCTGCTTCTAGGAGAGGCTGTTCCTTGGAGAAGGACATCACACTTGGGAAGGTGGAGGGACAGTGAGGAAAGGAAGACCCTCAGCAAGATGGGTTTACACAGGGACTGAAGCAATGGTCTTTGGCGTGTCAGAGATTGTGGGGATGGCACGGGATAGGATAGTGTCTAGATAGATTGTCTATAGGGTTGCTAAGAGTCAACTTGATGACACCTAACAACAACAACAACAACCCTATGGTCAGAATGAACAAGAAGGTCATGTGAATCCACAGACTTATTTACAAATAGCAACTCAAATTCAGATTTCCTGTAAGAGCTCTGCGTAGCAGTCTCCCTCCCACCCTACTACTCTGTCCTCTGTTTTCCAAGTGGACACATCAATCTATTGTAATTAAAAGTAGTTATCACATATTACCATCCTCAATTATACAAACAATATGTCTTGCTGTGTCTTGTAGAGCCATGGTTTGAGTTCATTCTCTTCACTCTTTCAGATTGAGGGGAGGGTGTAAGTGGAAAGAGCCTTATTGATCAAATCTTCTCAGGTGCCAGTGTCTAACCCAGATTCTTCTTTTAGGTGGAGATATGGCTGAACCATGTGCTCACTCACATGAAGGCCACTGTGAGGCATGAAATGACAGAAGGTGTAATGGCCTATGAAGAAAAACCGAGGGAGCAGTGGCTCTTCGACTATCCAGCACAGGTAAAAGGAAAGGAAATAAAAGGAAAATTCATAAGTGGCAATTATAGAAACTAAAAAGAAGCTTAGTAGAACATAAGAGTAAAAATGCCAAATGCTACTAATAGGTCAAGCAAAATAGAGAGGCTGAAGAATGGCCATGGAAAGGGAGTTGGTAGATCAATAGGAAAGGGATCACAGTGCAGGGAGCTGGATGAAATGAAGGTGGGAAAATACTGATAATGAGTGTAGACATAACAGTTTCAAGGCTGTGAGGAACAGAAGAGAAATAGGCCAGCACAAAAGAGGGAAAGGACTGTTTTTTAACAGCAGAGTTGAACTATTCCATCAAGCCACTTTAAACAAGGCCACCAATGTACTCTTTGTGACATGCAATGCATATAAAGTCAAAGATAAAAAGGAATCAATTAGGGAATGATATTTTTTTACACCATCATTCCCTATTTCACAAAAGAAATAATTCCTATCAAGATTCCCTGTTATCTTTATCAAAACTTTAAGGTTATGAAAATTTGTTAACTCTTAGAATTGCAACAGCACATAACAACACTATTACAACATCTATCAACTACACCAGCATCATACAAACCAAATAAGATATTAATGTCGTTACTTATTACTAATATATACATATCAATTTCCACCATAATTGCTCAGTTAGGAGGTTTCCTGTAGCAAGATCTCTAGAAAAACAGAAGAACTATTTATCATATTTATTTATATTTATTTCCGTTTATCTCATCTCTGAAAAATGCAAACCACATTGACCACATTGAAGTTTGGTGTTGTTGCCTTTAGCTTCAGGGATAGACATATTAAAGTTATTGCTTTTTAGAAAGGAAGCTGTGCTATGATATTGTGGACAGGAAAATATATACCACAGATGGTCAGCACTAACTCAATGAGCATGGACCACACGTGGTGCCCGAGGAGCAGAGCAAAGACTATTGAGATGCTTGGTAAATAACTCCGTCAGTTATCCTCCCAAGCACAGGAAAGATACAGCCTCTGGGAAATAAAAACCTAATGATCAGTGCAGATGCTTCTAGAATCTGCTTGTTCTCAATCAAATTATATCTTTTCCAACAGCAGAAACTACTTTCCCCACTTGTGCTGTAACAGCTTCACATTCCCAGAGATTTAAAGTTCTTAGTTCATTTAGTAGATGCTGGGGGGAGAGAGAGGGCAGAGAGTTGCATCATCCTTGAGATCACATCCTGGGTTATTTCTGAGACGTAAGTAGACTGCCTGGAAACAGGTCAGGTAACAGTTACTTACCCAGTAATTCTTGATGCCATAGGTGGCCTTGACTTGTACACAGATCTGGTGGACAACAGAGGTGGGCATTGCATTTGCCAGGTTGGAGGAAGGCTATGAGAATGCCATGAAGGACTACTACAAGAAACAAGTGGCCCAGCTCAAAACCCTCATCACGATGCTGATTGGCCAGCTCTCCAAGGGGGACCGGCAGAAGATTATGACCATATGCACCATTGATGTACATGCCCGTGACGTGGTGGCCAAGATGATTGCTCAGAAGGTGGGTTCCAGGCACTCAGGGGTGTCCTCCTTGGTGAGCAACTACATTGGACATATGGAGTTAAGGAGAAACTGACATACAGGCAAAACGTGTGTTCCAGAGTCTGCATGGCATGAGCCAGAGAACTTAGGAAGGATTCTTTTTATAGACTGCGATTTTAGTGAAAGTTTGCAGAAATGATGGGTTTTCATTCATTCATTGATACGCATTTTCCTCTCTTCCTGTTGCCCAGATCACTTTGTAATACATGTCTTGTTCCAGATTGTTAATTTTCCTATATATATAATGCATGCCTAATCATCCATTCCTTTCAAGTAGTTCTTCCTTTCACCTATCCCAATGTGATGTTCATTATCAATTCATTCTTTTCCTGCTCTCCCTTCCTCCATATCCATCCTGAATCTCTGTATGCAGATGATATAATAGTGTACTTAGAAAAAGATTCAGTATGTTTTAAAACTGTTGGACATAAACAACCATTCAGAAAAGTACAGGATATATAAGATTGACATGCAAAAATCAGTTGAATTTCTCTACAATAGCAAAGAGAATACAGAAAAAAGAAGAAAAGTACTCTCAACTACAGTATCTAATCATAGGATTAAATGGTTATAAAAGTTGAGGGGAATCTTTTGGTGGCTGCTCCCACTTTTTTTTGGGGTGGTTTGTTTTTTTAAAAAATTTTATTTTATACACGTTTACATACAAACCACAATGGAATGGATTGAGAATTTATGGTAAATTCACACAATGGAATACTATGCAGCACACAGGAGCAATGATTTTATAAATTACAATCTAAATTATCGAACAATATTGATACCACATGCAAGCAAGATTCTGCTGAAGATTATCCAAAAACGACGGAAACAGCACATCAACAGAGAACGGCCAGAAGTGCAGACTGAGTTTAGAAGGGTTTGTGCTTCTAGGGATATTGTAGCTAATGTTAGATGGATCTTAGCTGAAAGCAGGGAATACCAGAGGAATGTCTTTGTTTCATTGATTATGCAAAGGCGTTTGACTGTGTGGATCACAACCAACTGTGGCTGACTCAGAACACTTGATCGTGCTAATGCAAAAATCTATACTTGGACCAGGAGGCAGTTGTCAGAATAGAGCAAGGAAACACTGCGTGGTTCAAAATTGAGAAGAGTGTATGCCAGGGATGTGTCCTATCTCTCTACCTTTTCAACTTATATGCAGAACATATTATCTGGAAGGCTGGGCTGTAGGAGGAGAAATGTGGCATCAGGATTGGTGGAAAATTCATCAACAATCTGCGTTATGCAGATGACACAACCCTTCTTGCTGAAACTGAGGAAGACCTGAAGTGCTTGCTGCAGAAGGTCAAGGACTGCAGCCTTCAATATGGATTGAGACTCAATATCAAGAAAACAAAGATTCTCACCACTGAACCAATTGGCAGCATCAGAATGGATGGTAAAGAGATTGAGATTGTTAACAGCTTTAGTTTGCTTGGCTCCACAGTCAACACTCTTGGCACCAGCAGCCAGGAAATTAAAAGACGTATGGTGAAGGGAAAGTCTGCTGTTAGGGACCTCTCAAAGTGCTGAAGAGCAATGGTATCACTCTGGAGACTAAGGTGCACCCGGAACAGACCATGGTCTTTGCAATTACTTGCTATGCATCAGAAAGCTGGACAATAACTAGGGAGGATAGGAGAATTGATGCCTTTGAACTGTGGTTTTGGAGGAGAGTATTGAATATACTATGGACTGCTAAGAAAACAAACAGGTTCATCCTAGAGAAGGTTAAATCAGGCTGCTCCTTGGAGGCAAGGATTCTGAGGCTTCATCTGACATACGTTGGACATGTTGCAAGGAGGGACCAGTCCTTGAAGAAGGACATCATGCTTGGGAGGCTGGAGGGACAGCACAGGACAGGAAGACCCTCTGTAAGATAGACTGATTCAGTGACTGGGGAGATCAGGGTGGGTGAGTCAGAGACAATGAGATCAGCACAGGATAGAGCAGGGTTTAGGGCTGTTGTACATAGAGTCACTATGAGTCAAAGGCAACTTGATGGCACATAACAACAACAACAACTTTACATGGGAGGGACTGGAGAACATTATGCTCCTACCTTTTAAAGCCTGCAGTGAACCCATCAGAGCAGCTTGTGCTTTTTAGCTGTACTGGCCAGAGGTGTGGTACTCTTGACTGTTAGACCACAGCCAAACCAGCCAAAGCCCTGCTTAGCTTGCAGTCAAGGGACCATCTGTTTACCAGTGTGGTTTACTCACTTACCCGAAACTTCCCCTTTAGGTTGACAATGCCCAGGCCTTCCTGTGGCTGTCCCAGCTGCGCCATCGGTGGGACGACGAGGCCAAACACTGCTTTGCCAACATCTGTGATGCCCAGTTCCTGTATTCCTATGAGTACCTGGGAAACACCCCTCGCCTGGTGATTACGCCTTTGACTGACAGGTGAGTTTTTGTAGCTACCACTGACAGAGAACCTACTGCAGTCTGGTGCACGCAATCCAGGATCAAGGCCTTCTTCACTGTCCACTGAGCTATAGGCAAGAGCAGGCTCTTGACAGAGCAGTTGTAAAAAAAATCGAACTGTTGTAGATCAAAACCCTCTGCAGCGTCCCAAGGAGAAGCACACCTGAGACCAAACTAGTGCACCAGGGCTTTTGAGGAATTGCTAGGCAGTATCCTATAGCATTTAAGAACATGGGTTTTGCAGTTAACACAGGATTTAATCCTATCTCTAACACATAAAAGCTGTTTGACATTGAGAAATTGACCTCTGTAACTGTTAATTTCCTCTTCTCTGTAATGATATAGTTACTCATGCATCAGATTTTTAATATTAAAGACAGTAATGCTTGTCAAGAGTTTAGTGTATAGCACATTCTCAGTAAATGATGTTATTATTTTTACCAATCAATTATTGATCTGTTGGAATACTAACACATAGAGTGTAAATAAGATAGTTATACTATGAATTGGCTGACCATTTATAAAGAGACAGTGTTTGTCAGGAAGGTCTGGTGGCCTAGTGGTAAGAATCTTCACTTCCATCCCAAAGACAGGAGATTCAAGTCCACCAACTGTTCCATGGGAGAAAGATGAGCAATCTCCTCCCATGAAATTCCTCCCTCTGTAAACCTGCTGGAGGGCCAGCTATGGGTCAGTCTGACTCAGTGGCACACAACAACAACAACAACAATCTTTGTCATTCATGTTCATTTATTCATTAATGAATTGTGGCAGACTGGCCTGGTCAGTGGGATTGCAAAGATGACCAAAACATTTCCTCCTTCCTCCTCTTAAGGTACAAGTCAAGAGAATAAAATAAGACACATATAGATCAGGATTTAAATGCAAGAGAAGAAAGTACAATACTGTGGTATGAAGTAGTAAAAGTTGTTGCTATGTGCTGTTAAGTCGCCTGCAACTCATAGCGAACCTATGTACAACAGCCCTAAACCCTGCTCTATCCTTTGCCAATCATATTGTCTCTGACACACTTACCCCGATTATCCCAGTCACTGAATCAATCCATCTCATTGACGGTCTTCCTCTCTTTTGTTGTCCCTCCACCTCCCAAGCATGACGTTCCTCTCCAAGGACTGGTCCCACTGTGCAACATGTCCAAAGTCATGATGAAGCTTCAGAATCCTTGCCTCCAAGGTGCAGTCTGATCTCACCCTTTCTAGCATGAACCTGTTTGTTCTCCTAGAAGTCAATGATATATTCAACACTTCTCCAGCACCACAGCTCAAAGGCATAAATTCTCCTTCTTTCATCCTTAGTCATTGTCCAGCTCTCCAATGCATAGAAAGCAGGACTGAGCAACTAGGAAGAAGGATTTGCCATCTACTTCTGAAATAGAAGTCCTTCGAAAATGCTTTGTATCATACAGTTAGACTAGCAGATAAGGCAACTGAGGCTGAGCCCTCAAGTATGGAAACACAAAAGAGGAGAAATAGTTGTAAATAGACACTAGTGATTGGAACATGGAATATGAAAACCGTGAATGTAGGAAAATTGGATATTGTTAAGAAAGAAATGGAATGGATAAATATGGACATACTAGGTATTGGCAAAATGAGATTGACTGGCATGAAACATGTTGAGTCAGACAATCATATGCTGGAGAGGAAAAGCTGAGGAAAAATGGGGCTGCTTTCATAGTTAAAAAAGTCATTTCTAGATCCGTCTTGAAATATAATGTTGTGAGTGACAGGATAATATCCATATGCATACAAGGAAGCCCAGTGAATACCACTATCATTCAGATATATGCACCAACATCCAGAGCCAAAGAAGGGGAAATAGAAGATTTCAATCAACTTTTGTAGTCAGAGATCGATCGAACATGCAATCAAGATGCATTAATAATAATGGGTGATCACAATGCAAAAGTTGGGAACAGAGAAGGATCTGTAGTTGGGAAACATGGACTTGGTGACAGAAATGAAGCTGGAGATAGAACAAGAGAATTTTGCACAATCAACAACTTACTCATTGCAAATACGTTTTATATGAAATGTAAGTGCAGGCTATACACATGGATTTCACCTGATAGTATGCATAGGAATCAGATCAATGACATCTGTGAAAATAATCACTGGAGAAGCTCAATATCAGTTGTGAAAACTAGGCCATGTGCTGATTGTGGAACAGACCACCAGCTACTCATATGTAAGTTCAAGCTGAAGCTAAAGGAAATGAAATAAAATCCCCAGGAAGTAGTATATAAAAACATGTATTATAAATCTGCAGGGAGGGAGAATCAGCAGTGAGTCTTATGAGCACAGAGGGCCCATGTCCAGTGGGAGGAAAGGAGCTGGGAGAGCTTCAAGGGAGAAGTGATGTCTGATCTGGACCTTGAAGATTGTGTAGGATCCTAGGGAGATTTTAGGGTAGCTATTAGGGTGTCCATGCATTGTACAGAAATCTCTGTGTGTTACTTTTTCTACTGAAGATAATTCATTAAAGTGACCCAGCAGCCTCAGAAGTTCAACACTACTGAAGAGCCTTTATGGCAGCTAGACTTCTGTGAACAAAACATGAACTTGGAAAGACTCACCGTATGTACCTGGAAGATAGAGTACATTCTTTTGGCATTGGGAGAGGTGGTTATTGTTAGCTACCATTGACTTAGTGATGGATTCATAGTGATCCAATTGACAAGACAGCATAACTCTGCCAAATCCTGCATCATGTCCATGTTCAGGACCAAACCATAGTGGTTTATATTGGTTGATTTTTGAAAGTAGATCATCTCCAGGCCTTTATTCCTGGTCTATCTTAGTCTAGAAGTGCTACTGAAACCTGTTCAACATTATAGTGGCATATAATTCACTAACAGGCTGATGGTAGCTGCACATGAGATGCATTGGCCAGGAATCGAACCTGAGTCGCCCTTAAAGAAAGAGTGAGTTCTACCATTGAATCACCTGTACCTCATCAGGAGAGGAGTGCATGTGTTAGGTGCTGCTGTGTTTAATCTATGACTCATAGTGACCCTACGGCCAATAGATCTGAGCCCTGCCCTATTCTGTGCCGTCTTCATCCTCCTTGCTATACTTGAACCTGTTGTTACAGTGGCTGTTTCAGTCCATCTTGATGAGTGTCTTCTCTTCTCCTCTTTTGTTAATCCTCCATCTTTCCAAACATAGTATCTCCCCCCGCCCACCCCAAGGACTAGCTCCTTCTAACCACATGCCCCAAATATGTGACCTGAAGTTTCACTATCCTTGCCTCGAAGGAGCACCCTGGTTGCACTAAAGATGCATTTGTTCTTGTGGAAGTCCATGGGATAGTCAGTATTCAGCACTCTTCTCCAATATCACAGCCAAAAGGAATAAATTGTTCCGTCATCTTTCATCATCATCCAACTTTCAGATGGATAGCAAGTAATTGAAAAGACTATGACTTGGCTCAATTGCACCTTACTCTTTAGACTATCATCAGTATTTTTTAGCACTTTGGCTAGGTCTTTGACTGCAGATTTTGCTAGTGCAACATAGCTTTGGATTTGTTGACTTCTTATACTAAGGCTGTTGATTGTAGAGCTAAGTAAGATGAAATCATTTTTAGCTCTTCTCCATCGATCCTGATGTTGCCTATTGACCCAGTGGTGAGGATTTTTCTTTTCTTGAGATGTAATCCATATTGAAGGCTGTAATCTTTTATCTTCTGCAGCAACATATCAAGTTCTCCTCCCTTTCACCAAGCAAGGTTGTGTCATCTGCATAACACAAGTTGTTAGAGAGTCAGGAGAGGTAGCAGTCCATAAAACTGGGATCATTAGTAGGAGTCAGGCCGTAGAGTAGGGAGAGTATATTTCCTACTCATTAGGTAATTCTTTTTTATTATTATTAAATTTTATTAGTATTAATGAACATTTACAGGGATTTTGGGTTTTCATTCCTTCATTGCTGTACCATTCTCTCTAACCTCTTCCCCAGTTTGTTCTTCTTCCCCCGC